AATCTACCATATTACTACTTGGTTTCTATCATCGTACCTGTTTTACATTTCTTTTTTTTCTCTTGACATTTTTAATTAATTAAATATTTGTTTAATTAATATTAGGTTATTAATTATGTATTTCCTTACTCTTATTTTTATGCTTACCCTAGAGAGAACTACATCTGTCCTTGACATACTGAGTATATTTTAAAAATACCTTAACCAAACTCAAACATACAAGTATCCTACATTACTTGAACTCCATTTAAACCCTCCAGCCTTATCTGATATTGCTGTGTATCTTAATTCTATCAATCCTAAATCCTGAAAGACACGATGATAATAATGATGATGGTGATGATAATGATGCCTAAGTGTTCAATATTTGTTAAATAAGTTAAAACATAATTAAATGAGCATAGAGCTCAAGGGAAAGGACATGACTGGAGGTGTCAATTTAAAAGTCACCAGGAGATGATATCTGAAATCGAGGTATTCAATGACACTGACTAGGAAAGGTAAGAAGAGAGGAAGAGAAGGAGGTGTAGGAGGAAGAGAGGGGGAGAGGAGGAGAAGGGGTTTCAAGAACATAGCCATGGGGATTTTCAACCTTTTGAAATTGAGCAGAAAATGACAGAATAGTGAAGAATACTAGGAAGAATAGCAACATGTAAAAAGAATGTCAGGAGAATGTGGTGTCATGAGACCCAAGAAACAAACAGATTCCATGCAGAAAGGAATGGCTATGTTATACTACCAAGAAGATGAGTAAGATGAGGAGGAGAAAATGTCCACTGTATTCAGCAACTTAGAGAACATTGGTTATCTTGTGATAATCAGTTTTAATAAAATTTTAAAGACAGAAAAATTAGAGAGCTGGGCAAAAAATGGTGGGTGGTAAACATTTTAAGAGCTAAAACACAGAATACTCTTTACAAGTACTGTGATTTATGTTAAAATTATATGTAATCTACTCCTTTATTTTACACTTTACCTTGCATTTTCTATGCCTGCTATTTTTTTTTCCTGTCCTCTATAATGGTTTAGAAGTTATAAATTATATTCTGTTAGTGATTACCCATTAACTTATCAAAATACATTTTTCACTAGGTTAAAAATTAATCAATACCTATTTACTCTAAACAATCCAACGTCCATAAATGCTTTAGCTCTCATTACTAGTCATGTGTTTCACATTAGTACTTCCTACAGTATTTTACCTATGTCTAGTTTTAGAACTCCTAAAGTAGTCTTTAAAATGTTTTTATACAACAAATGTTCATTTAGATTTATTAACATGCTTACTAATTTTTTTGGTCACCAATGAGATGAATTAAACATTCCTTACATGCACTATTATACTTACATTACACTATTTTTTAACAAAAAAAGGTTATATTTCTGATATTCATAGAATATGGATTACTCAGTTACTGGTGTTAGACAAATGCCTTAGCCATATGAAAAAAAGTTAAGGTTGGATCTTTATCTCATGTCTTATGCCAAAATGAGTCATTAAATATAGAGCCATAAAAACACTGAAAGAGCCCTGTCCAGTTTGGCTCAGAATTTAGAGTGTCAGCCTGCAGTCCAGAGAGACCTAGGTTCGGTTCCCACTAAGGGCACATACCTCGGTTGCAGTTTGTCCCCAGCCCTGGTTGGGGTTGTGTGGGTGGCAGCCAGTCAATGTGTCTCTCTCACATTGATGTTTCTCTCTCTCTCTTCCTCCTTCTTTCCCTCTCACTCTATCTGAAGATGAATGCAACAATGTCCTCAGGTGAGAATTAAAAAAAAATCTTAAGAACACTGGAATAAAATTTAGATGATTATTTCTATAAACTTGGCTTTTACAAAGCATTTTGGAGCCTGATAGCAAAGCTGGAAACCATAAAGAAAAAAAAAAATGTGACTATAAAAAAATCTATACCTTCTCAGCAAAACAATAGTATAAACAAAGTAAAAAGACAATAGTAACTTTCACTTTCAGCTATGAAAAACTAGCTTCAATCACATCTACTCTTCCACTGAAAACAAGAAAGACTGAATGATTTTTTTTATTAATCTATTTGGAGGCACCAAATAGAAAACCAAGACTTGCAGGTCTACTATACAGTTGGCCCTCGTTTATTGCGGTAAATCAGTTCCAGACTCTACCACGATAAATTAATTTCCACGAAGTAGGATGCTTTATTTACTGTACACTCATCCCTTGCCACTTCGTGCTTTGACTTTTGCGGCTTCACTCTATCGCGGTTTAAGTAGCGATGGAAAACCGTGATAAAGTGAAGCTGCGAAAGTTGAAGTGCGAAGTGGCGAGAGACGACTGTGCGGGATAAAAGTTTAAAGCCCTGAATGTGCCTCTAGTCATATCATTTTCCTCCTCATAGTATTTGCTGATTCATAAGGCTGAAAGACTGAGCAACCAAGCAGAGCACAGTTGATAAAGGTCAGAGGCATTAAGCAGTCTATCATACTCTCAGGGTTAAGGAGATAAAATTGAAGTTCATGGCCTGCCAAGGCCTATTAAATAATCATGCCACATTTTCTGAAGAAAACCCAAAGGGCTAACTCCTATGAGTAAGGCAGAAATAGACCAGACCTTACAGAGACTACAGCCTACCTACTATCATCTGCCCGACTGTCTGCCAGAAGCAAATTAAATCCTCTCTGGAAGAAGACAGCACCATCCAGAGCTATTTTGATTTTTCATAAACAATTACATTGCACTACTACACTTTCTTTTTTTTAAAATTAATTAATTTATTTTTGTTACAGATGTTTCTCCTTTTTCCCCCACTGATTCCCCCACTACTACGCTTTTCTTTAAGTGGCAAAATAAAAGCCTGTCAACAAAAAAGTTTTTATACTGTTGGAAGAGTTATTGAAGTCATCCTATCCAATTAAAATTACTGCAACCATCATGAATTGTTAGGGGCTGGGCGGGGGGAGCAAGCAAATTGAGTTCATTCAGTCTCAATAATTTGGCTTTCAGAAAATGATCTGTCAACAAATTGATCACTTATCAAATTTGCTTGTAGAGATCTGATTTTCAGCAAATTGGTATGAGTAAACTTTTTTTGCATTTGACCAGTGGGCCTTTCTACTATCCTGCAATAAGCAATAGCCAGATCAGCAAGAACGATGATCTTATCTGAAGTACACTATGGTCTATGACACTATCTAAATCTTGCTATGAATGAGTTCATGACAAAAAAACTGGCAGTCAAATTCTGTGTTGATTTTCACTATGTACATGGTAAAGAGAAGTCTTCATGGCCAACTTCCATTTTAAAGATGCACTACTTTGGAGATGTATGTTTAAAACATGAAAATTAATAATAATAATTGAGCCCTGGCCGGTTTGGCTCAGCGGTTAGAGCATCAGCCTGTGGTCCCGAGAGACCCGGGTTCGGTTCCCGCTAAGGGCGTGTACCTTGGTTGTGGTTTGTCCCCGGCCCTGGTCGGTCGTGCGGGTGGCAGCCACTCGATGTGTCCCTTTCACATCGATGTTTCTCTCTCTCTCTCTTCCTCTCTCTCCCTCCCACTCTACCTGAACAAAAAATGTCCTCAGGTGAGGATAAAAAAAAAAAAAAGGAAAAAATAATAATAATTGATATGACCTAGAAAAACAATACAAGAAAAGTACATTTTTATTTCTTCTTTCTAGGTTCACCTATATTTTCAAAAGATGACTTCTCTTTTGGAAAACATCACTGCCATCATTGACTTATTCCAACAATATTCAAAAAAAGACAAAGAAACTGACACACTGAGTAAAGAAGAGCTGAAGGAACTTCTGGAAATGGAGTTTTACCCAATCCTGAAGGTAAAGACATTTGCCAGGATAAACAAGTATAGCACTTAGGGATGCATTAATAATCTCACAAAGGATTATTGTGAATTTTTATGAACTCTGTCTTCGGGAATAAAAATGGACTTAATCTTATTTCAAAACAGATATAAACTTGATCCCCCATTCACATATTTCTATCCACTATACAAACATGTGGGGTGCACATGCACACATACACCCTCTATAAAGGATAATAATATGAATATTTATGACAAAGAAACAAATATCAATTAGCTAGTCATTCATAATATTCTTCCTATATCATGAATATTAAGACAGTATGTTTAAAGGATAATGCAATTATGGGCATTATAATACATTGATATTTGAAGTTAGAAAAAAAGGAACTTGGCCATCAAATCTTGCCATGTCGGCACATGCATTTAAGATTTCATTCATTTACTCTATTACCATTGACTTTTATCTGAACAACAATAAGCTAAACTATATTATGGAGAAAACACCAGATTTGGTTCTAATTTAAGTACCAGAAATTCACATTCCCTAAGTTGACTTTAAATTATTTAATTGACCATTTAAGGCTGCCTAACAGACGCTCCCTTTCTGTACCCTTCTATACAGAATCCAGATGACCCAGAAACTGCTGATGTCTTCATGGATTTCCTTGACATAGACCACAACCAGCAAATAGACTTTGGAGAATTTTTTCTGATGGTATTCAAGGTGGCTAAAGCATACTATAAGTCTAAAAAGAGACAGAATGTCCAAGCATCAGGACAAAAGCAGAAAAAAAAGGCACACCAAAAGAAACATGTAGAACATGATATAAAAGAGAAAGAAAAAGAGGAAGAAGATAGAAAAAGAAAATTCAGACATTCAGAGAGTGATGGAAGAGGAAAAAGAGCAAGATCCAAGAGCCCAAGAAGGCAAGGAGAAAAAAGACATGGGACAAGTACTGAAAGAAAAACTAAAAAAGGTGGTACATCTCCTTGTACACACAGACACACAGATGGGAAAAACAATCATGAAACAACGAGAAAAGAGAAAAGCAGGTCAAGCACTCTTGAATTACAAGGAGGAAGACAAATTCCAAGGGTAAGCCCAATTAGAAAAAATGAAAGCACACACTATACAACTGATAATGAAAATATAGGAAAAAGCTACACACATGAAACATCATCATCCAAATTGACACCCAACACAGATCAGCAACCGAGTAGTAGTCAGGACACCTCATCCCATGGACACTCAGGATCCCGTTCAAGTGGAAGACTAGAATCCCAGCACCAGCAGTCACCAGACAGGTCCAGACACTCGCGCACTGAACATGGACAATCGTCTTCCAGATCCAGAGGCACCACTCATCGGGAGCCCAGTAGTAGTCAGGCCAGTGACAGCGAAGGACAGGGTGAAGATTCAGGTAGACAAACTGCCTCCACTCATGGGAGGACTGCGTCCAGTACTCAGCACCACCATGGTTCTACTCATGAGCAGTCTGGAGACAGTGCTAGAAACTCTGCCACCCACCGAGGGCAGACAGGCCACCACAGTCACACTGAGCATGCCCAGGGACACTCCAACTCTGGTGAACGAAGAAGACAAGGACTGAGTGATGGGTACTCCGGAGACAGCTCCAGACAATCGGGGTCTCCTCAAGCAGAGACATCCTCTCGAGGACACAACACCTCATCCCATGGACACTCAGGATCCCGTTCAAGTGGAAGACTAGAATCCCGGCACCAGCAGTCACCAGACAGGTCCAGACACTCGCGCACTGAACATGGACAATCGTCTTCCAGATCCAGAGGCACCACTCATCGGGAGCCCAGTAGTAGTCAGGCCAGTGACAGCGAAGGACAGGGTGAAGATTCAGGTAGACAAACTGCCTCCACTCATGGGAGGACTGCGTCCAGTACTCAGCACCACCATGGTTCTACTCATGAGCAGTCTGGAGACAGTGCTAGAAACTCTGCCACCCACCGAGGGCAGACAGGCCACCACAGTCACACTGAGCATGCCCAGGGACACTCCAACTCTGGTGAACGAAGAAGACAAGGACTGAGTGATGGGTACTCCGGAGACAGCTCCAGACAATCGGGGTCTCCTCAAGCAGAGACATCCTCTCGAGGACACAACACCTCATCCCATGGACACTCAGGATCCCGTTCAAGTGGAAGACTAGAATCCCGGCACCAGCAGTCACCAGACAGGTCCAGACACTCGCGCACTGAACATGGACAATCGTCTTCCAGATCCAGAGGCACCACTCATCGGGAGCCCAGTAGTAGTCAGGCCAGTGACAGCGAAGGACAGGGTGAAGATTCAGGTAGACAAACTGCCTCCACTCATGGGAGGACTGCGTCCAGTACTCAGCACCACCATGGTTCTACTCATGAGCAGTCTGGAGACAGTGCTAGAAACTCTGCCACCCACCGAGGGCAGACAGGCCACCACAGTCACACTGAGCATGCCCAGGGACACTCCAACTCTGGTGAACGAAGAAGACAAGGACTGAGTGATGGGTACTCCGGAGACAGCTCCAGACAATCGGGGTCTCCTCAAGCAGAGACATCCTCTCGAGGACACAACACCTCATCCCATGGACACTCAGGATCCCGTTCAAGTGGAAGACTAGAATCCCGGCACCAGCAGTCACCAGACAGGTCCAGACACTCGCGCACTGAACATGGACAATCGTCTTCCAGATCCAGAGGCACCACTCATCGGGAGCCCAGTAGTAGTCAGGCCAGTGACAGCGAAGGACAGGGTGAAGATTCAGGTAGACAAACTGCCTCCACTCATGGGAGGACTGCGTCCAGTACTCAGCACCACCATGGTTCTACTCATGAGCAGTCTGGAGACAGTGCTAGAAACTCTGCCACCCACCGAGGGCAGACAGGCCACCACAGTCACACTGAGCATGCCCAGGGACACTCCAACTCTGGTGAACGAAGAAGACAAGGACTGAGTGATGGGTACTCCGGAGACAGCTCCAGACAATCGGGGTCTCCTCAAGCAGAGACATCCTCTCGAGGACACAACACCTCATCCCATGGACACTCAGGATCCCGTTCAAGTGGAAGACTAGAATCCCGGCACCAGCAGTCACCAGACAGGTCCAGACACTCGCGCACTGAACATGGACAATCGTCTTCCAGATCCAGAGGCACCACTCATCGGGAGCCCAGTAGTAGTCAGGCCAGTGACAGCGAAGGACAGGGTGAAGATTCAGGTAGACAAACTGCCTCCACTCATGGGAGGACTGCGTCCAGTACTCAGCACCACCATGGTTCTACTCATGAGCAGTCTGGAGACAGTGCTAGAAACTCTGCCACCCACCGAGGGCAGACAGGCCACCACAGTCACACTGAGCATGCCCAGGGACACTCCAACTCTGGTGAACGAAGAAGACAAGGACTGAGTGATGGGTACTCCGGAGACAGCTCCAGACAATCGGGGTCTCCTCAAGCAGAGACATCCTCTCGAGGACACAACACCTCATCCCATGGACACTCAGGATCCCGTTCAAGTGGAAGACTAGAATCCCGGCACCAGCAGTCACCAGACAGGTCCAGACACTCGCGCACTGAACATGGACAATCGTCTTCCAGATCCAGAGGCACCACTCACCGGGAGCCCAGTAGTAGTCAGGCCAGTGACAGCGAAGGACAGGGTGAAGATTCAGGTAGACAAACTGCCTCCACTCATGGGAGGACTGCGTCCAGTACTCAGCACCACCATGGTTCTACTCATGAGCAGTCTGGAGACAGTGCTAGAAACTCTGCCACCCACCGAGGGCAGACAGGCCACCACAGTCACACTGAGCATGCCCAGGGACACTCCAACTCTGGTGAACGAAGAAGACAAGGACTGAGTGATGGGTACTCCGGAGACAGCTCCAGACAATCGGGGTCTCCTCAAGCAGAGACATCCTCTCGAGGACACAACACCTCATCCCATGGACACTCAGGATCCCGTTCAAGTGGAAGACTAGAATCCCGGCACCAGCAGTCACCAGACAGGTCCAGACACTCGCGCACTGAACATGGACAATCGTCTTCCAGATCCAGAGGCACCACTCATCGGGAGCCCAGTAGTAGTCAGGCCAGTGACAGCGAAGGACAGGGTGAAGATTCAGGTAGACAAACTGCCTCCACTCATGGGAGGACTGCGTCCAGTACTCAGCACCACCATGGTTCTACTCATGAGCAGTCCGGAGACAGTGCTAGAAACTCTGCCACCCACCGAGGGCAGACAGGCCACCACAGTCACACTGAGCATGCCCAGGGACACTCCAACTCTGGTGAACGAAGAAGACAAGGACTGAGTGATGGGTACTCCGGAGACAGCTCCAGACAATCGGGGTCTCCTCAAGCAGAGACATCCTCTCGAGGACACAACACCTCATCCCATGGACACTCAGGATCCCGTTCAAGTGGAAGACTAGAATCCCGGCACCAGCAGTCACCAGACAGGTCCAGACACTCGCGCACTGAACATGGACAATCGTCTTCCAGATCCAGAGGCACCACTCATCGGGAGCCCAGTAGTAGTCAGGCCAGTGACAGCGAAGGACAGGGTGAAGATTCAGGTAGACAAACTGCCTCCACTCATGGGAGGACTGCGTCCAGTACTCAGCACCACCATGGTTCTACTCATGAGCAGTCTGGAGACAGTGCTAGAAACTCTGCCACCCACCGAGGGCAGACAGGCCACCACAGTCACACTGAGCATGCCCAGGGACACTCCAACTCTGGTGAACGAAGAAGACAAGGACTGAGTGATGGGTACTCCGGAGACAGCTCCAGACAATCGGGGTCTCCTCAAGCAGAGACATCCTCTCGAGGACACAACACCTCATCCCATGGACACTCAGGATCCCGTTCAAGTGGAAGACTAGAATCCCGGCACCAGCAGTCACCAGACAGGTCCAGACACTCGCGCACTGAACATGGACAATCGTCTTCCAGATCCAGAGGCACCACTCATCGGGAGCCCAGTAGTAGTCAGGCCAGTGACAGCGAAGGACAGGGTGAAGATTCAGGTAGACAAACTGCCTCCACTCATGGGAGGACTGCGTCCAGTACTCAGCACCACCATGGTTCTACTCATGAGCAGTCTGGAGACAGTGCTAGAAACTCTGCCACCCACCGAGGGCAGACAGGCCACCACAGTCACACTGAGCATGCCCAGGGACACTCCAACTCTGGTGAACGAAGAAGACAAGGACTGAGTGATGGGTACTCCAGAGACAGCTCCAGACAATCGGGGTCTCCTCAAGCAGAGACATCCTCTCGAGGACACAACACCTCATCCCATGGACACTCAGGATCCCGTTCAAGTGGAAGACTAGAATCCCGGCACCAGCAGTCACCAGACAGGTCCAGACACTCGCGCACTGAACATGGACAATCGTCTTCCAGATCCAGAGGCACCACTCATCGGGAGCCCAGTAGTAGTCAGGCCAGTGACAGCGAAGGACAGGGTGAAGATTCAGGTAGACAAACTGCCTCCACTCATGGGAGGACTGCGTCCAGTACTCAGCACCACCATGGTTCTACTCATGAGCAGTCTGGAGACAGTGCTAGAAACTCTGCCACCCACCGAGGGCAGACAGGCCACCACAGTCACACTGAGCATGCCCAGGGACACTCCAACTCTGGTGAACGAAGAAGACAAGGACTGAGTGATGGGTACTCCGGAGACAGCTCCAGACAATCGGGGTCTCCTCAAGCAGAGACATCCTCTCGAAGACACAACACCTCATCCCATGGACACTCAGGATCCCGTTCAAGTGGAAGACTAGAATCCCGGCACCAGCAGTCACCAGACAGGTCCAGACACTCGCGCACTGAACATGGACAATCGTCTTCCAGATCCAGAGGCACCACTCACCGGGAGCCCAGTAGTAGTCAGGCCAGTGACAGCGAAGGACAGGGTGAAGATTCAGGTAGACAAACTGCCTCCACTCATGGGAGGACTGCGTCCAGTACTCAGCACCACCATGGTTCTACTCATGAGCAGTCTGGACACAGTGCTAGAAACTCTGCCACCCACCGAGGGCAGACAGGCCACCACAGTCACACTGAGCATGCCCAGGGACACTCCAACTCTGGTGAACGAAGAAGACAAGGACTGAGTGATGGGTACTCCGGAGACAGCTCCAGACAATCGGGGTCTCCTCAAGCAGAGACATCCTCTCGAGGACACAACACCTCATCCCATGGACACTCAGGATCCCGTTCAAGTGGAAGACTAGAATCCCGGCACCAGCAGTCACCAGACAGGTCCAGACACTCGCGCACTGAACATGGACAATCGTCTTCCAGATCCAGAGGCACCACTCATCGGGAGCCCAGTAGTAGTCAGGCCAGTGACAGCGAAGGACAGGGTGAAGATTCAGGTAGACAAACTGCCTCCACTCATGGGAGGACTGCGTCCAGTACTCAGCACCACCATGGTTCTACTCATGAGCAGTCTGGAGACAGTGCTAGAAACTCTGCCACCCACCGAGGGCAGACAGGCCACCACAGTCACACTGAGCATGCCCAGGGACACTCCAACTCTGGTGAACGAAGAAGACAAGGACTGAGTGATGGGTACTCCGGAGACAGCTCCAGACCATCGGGGTCTCCTCAAGCAGAGACATCCTCTCGAGGACACAACACCTCATCCCATGGACACTCAGGATCCCGTTCAAGTGGAAGACTAGAATCCCGGCACCAGCAGTCACCAGACAGGTCCAGACACTCGCGCACTGAACATGGACAATCGTCTTCCAGATCCAGAGGCACCACTCATCGGGAGCCCAGTAGTAGTCAGGCCAGTGACAGCGAAGGACAGCGTGAAGATTCAGGTAGACAAACTGCCTCCACTCATGGGAGGACTGCGTCCAGTACTCAGCACCACCATGGTTCTACTCATGAGCAGTCTGGAGACAGTGCTAGAAACTCTGCCACCCACCGAGGGCAGACAGGCCACCACAGTCACACTGAGCATGCCCAGGGACACTCCAACTCTGGTGAACGAAGAAGACAAGGACTGAGTGATGGGTACTCCGGAGACAGCTCCAGACAATCGGGGTCTCCTCAAGCAGAGACATCCTCTCGAGGACACAACACCTCATCCCATGGACACTCAGGATCCCGTTCAAGTGGAAGACTAGAATCCCGGCACCAGCAGTCACCAGACAGGTCCAGACACTCGCGCACTGAACATGGACAATCGTCTTCCAGATCCAGAGGCACCACTCATCGGGAGCCCAGTAGTAGTCAGGCCAGTGACAGCGAAGGACAGGGTGAAGATTCAGGTAGACAAACTGCCTCCACTCATGGGAGGACTGCGTCCAGTACTCAGCACCACCATGGTTCTACTCATGAGCAGTCTGGAGACAGTGCTAGAAACTCTGCCACCCACCGAGGGCAGACAGGCCACCACAGTCACACTGAGCATGCCCAGGGACACTCCAACTCTGGTGAACGAAGAAGACAAGGACTGAGTGATGGGTACTCCGGAGACAGCTCCAGACAATCGGGGTCTCCTCAAGCAGAGACATCCTCTCGAGGACACAACACCTCATCCCATGGACACTCAGGATCCCGTTCAAGTGGAAGACTAGAATCCCGGCACCAGCAGTCACCAGACAGGTCCAGACACTCGCGCACTGAACATGGACAATCGTCTTCCAGATCCAGAGGCACCACTCATCGGGAGCCCAGTAGTAGTCAGGCCAGTGACAGCGAAGGACAGGGTGAAGATTCAGGTAGACAAACTGCCTCCACTCATGGGAGGACTGCGTCCAGTACTCAGCACCACCATGGTTCTACTCATGAGCAGTCTGGAGACAGTGCTAGAAACTCTGCCACCCACCGAGGGCAGACAGGCCACCACAGTCACACTGAGCATGCCCAGGGACACTCCAACTCTGGTGAACGAAGAAGACAAGGACTGAGTGATGGGTACTCCGGAGACAGCTCCAGACCATCGGGGTCTCCTCAAGCAGAGACATCCTCTCGAGGACACAACACCTCATCCCATGGACACTCAGGATCCCGTTCAAGTGGAAGACTAGAATCCCGGCACCAGCAGTCACCAGACAGGTCCAGACACTCGCGCACTGAACATGGACAATCGTCTTCCAGATCCAGAGGCACCACTCATCGGGAGCCCAGTAGTAGTCAGGCCAGTGACAGCGAAGGACAGCGTGAAGATTCAGGTAGACAAACTGCCTCCACTCATGGGAGGACTGCGTCCAGTACTCAGCACCACCATGGTTCTACTCATGAGCAGTCCGGAGACAGTGCTAGAAACTCTGCCACCCACCGAGGGCAGACAGGCCACCACAGTCACACTGAGCATGCCCAGGGACACTCCAACTCTGGTGAACGAAGAAGACAAGGACTGAGTGATGGGTACTCCGGAGACAGCTCCAGACAATCGGGGTCTCCTCAAGCAGAGACATCCTCTCGAGGACACAACACCTCATCCCATGGACACTCAGGATCCCGTTCAAGTGGAAGACTAGAATCCCGGCACCAGCAGTCACCAGACAGGTCCAGACACTCGCGCACTGAACATGGACAATCGTCTTCCAGATCCAGAGGCACCACTCATCGGGAGCCCAGTAGTAGTCAGGCCAGTGACAGCGAAGGACAGGGTGAAGATTCAGGTAGACAAACTGCCTCCACTCATGGGAGGACTGCGTCCAGTACTCAGCACCACCATGGTTCTACTCATGAGCAGTCTGGAGACAGTGCTAGAAACTCTGCCACCCACCGAGGGCAGACAGGCCACCACAGTCACACTGAGCATGCCCAGGGACACTCCAACTCTGGTGAACGAAGAAGACAAGGACTGAGTGATGGGTACTCCGGAGACAGCTCCAGACCATCGGGGTCTCCTCAAGCAGAGACATCCTCTCGAGGACACAACACCTCATCCCATGGACACTCAGGATCCCGTTCAAGTGGAAGACTAGAATCCCGGCACCAGCAGTCACCAGACAGGTCCAGACACTCGCGCACTGAACATGGACAATCGTCTTCCAGATCCAGAGGCACCACTCATCGGGAGCCCAGTAGTAGTCAGGCCAGTGACAGCGAAGGACAGCGTGAAGATTCAGGTAGACAAACTGCCTCCACTCATGGGAGGACTGCGTCCAGTACTCAGCACCACCATGGTTCTACTCATGAGCAGTCTGGAGACAGTGCTAGAAACTCTGCCACCCACCGAGGGCAGACAGGCCACCACAGTCACACTGAGCATGCCCAGGGACACTCCAACTCTGGTGAACGAAGAAGACAAGGACTGAGTGATGGGTACTCCGGAGACAGCTCCAGACCATCGGGGTCTCCTCAAGCAGAGACATCCTCTCGAGGACACAACACCTCATCCCATGGACACTCAGGATCCCGTTCAAGTGGAAGACTAGAATCCCGGCACCAGCAGTCACCAGACAGGTCCAGACACTCGCGCACTGAACATGGACAATCGTCTTCCAGATCCAGAGGCACCACTCATCGGGAGCCCAGTAGTAGTCAGGCCAGTGACAGCGAAGGACAGGGTGAAGATTCAGGTAGACAAACTGCCTCCACTCATGGGAGGACTGCGTCCAGTACTCAGCACCACCATGGTTCTACTCATGAGCAGTCTGGAGACAGTGCTAGAAACTCTGCCACCCACCGAGGGCAGACAGGCCACCACAGTCACACTGAGCATGCCCAGGGACACTCCAACTCTGGTGAACGAAGAAGACAAGGAGTGAGTGATGGGTACTCCGGAGACAGCTCCAGACAATCGGGGTCTCCTCAAGCAGAGACATCCTCTCGAGGACACAACACCTCATCCCATGGACACTCAGGATCCCGTTCAAGTGGAAGACTAGAATCCCGGCACCAGCAGTCACCAGACAGGTCCAGACACTCGCGCACTGAACATGGACAATCGTCTTCCAGATCCAGAGGCACCACTCACCGGGAGCCCAGTAGTAGTCAGGCCAGTGACAGCGAAGGACAGGGTGAAGATTCAGGTAGACAAACTGCCTCCACTCATGGGAGGACTGCGTCCAGTACTCAGCACCACCATGGTTCTACTCATGAGCAGTCTGGACACAGTGCTAGAAACTCTGCCACCCACCGAGGGCAGACAGGCCACCACAGTCACACTGAGCATGCCCAGGGACACTCCAACTCTGGTGAACGAAGAAGACAAGGACTGAGTGATGGGTACTCCGGAGACAGCTCCAGACCATCGGGGTCTCCTCAAGCAGAGACATCCTCTCGAGGACACAACACCTCATCCCATGGACACTCAGGATCCCGTTCAAGTGGAAGACTAGAATCCCGGCACCAGCAGTCACCAGACAGGTCCAGACACTCGCGCACTGAACATGGACAATCGTCTTCCAGATCCAGAGGCACCACTCATCGGGAGCCCAGTAGTAGTCAGGCCAGTGACAGCGAAGGACAGGGTGAAGATTCAGGTAGACAAACTGCCTCCACTCATGGGAGGACTGCGTCCAGTACTCAGCACCACCATGGTTCTACTCATGAGCAGTCTGGAGACAGTGCTAGAAACTCTGCCACCCACCGAGGGCAGACAGGCCACCACAGTCACACTGAGCATGCCCAGGGACACTCCAACTCTGGTGAACGAAGAAGACAAGGACTGAGTGATGGGTACTCCGGAGACAGCTCCAGACCATCGGGGTCTCCTCAAGCAGAGACATCCTCTCGAGGACACAACACCTCATCCCATGGACACTCAGGATCCCGTTCAAGTGGAAGACTAGAATCCCGGCACCAGCAGTCACCAGACAGGTCCAGACACTCGCGCACTGAACATGGACAATCGTCTTCCAGATCCAGAGGCACCACTCATCGGGAGCCCAGTAGTAGTCAGGCCAGTGACAGCGAAGGACAGGGTGAAGATTCAGGTAGACAAACTGCCTCCACTCATGGGAGGACTGCGTCCAGTACTCAGCACCACCATGGTTCTACTCATGAGCAGTCTGGAGACAGTGCTAGAAACTCTGCCACCCACCGAGGGCAGACAGGCCACCACAGTCACACTGAGCATGCCCAGGGACACTCCAACTCTGGTGAACGAAGAAGACAAGGACTGAGTGATGGGTACTCCGGAGACAGCTCCAGACCATCGGGGTCTCCTCAAGCAGAGACATCCTCTCGAGGACACAACACCTCATCCCATGGACACTCAGGATCCCGTTCAAGTGGAAGACTAGAATCCCGGCACCAGCAGTCACCAGACAGGTCCAGACACTCGCGCACTGAACATGGACAATCGTCTTCCAGATCCAGAGGCACCACTCATCGGGAGCCCAGTAGTAGTCAGGCCAGTGACAGCGAAGGACAGCGTGAAGATTCAGGTAGACAAACTGCCTCCACTCATGGGAGGACTGCGTCCAGTACTCAGCACCACCATGGTTCTACTCATGAGCAGTCTGGAGACAGTGCTAGAAACTCTGCCACCCACCGAGGGCAGACAGGCCACCACAGTCACACTGAGCATGCCCAGGGACACTCCAACTCTGGTGAACGAAGAAGACAAGGAGTGAGTGATGGGTACTCCGGAGACAGCTCCAGACCATCGGGGTCTCCTCAAGCAGAGACATCCTCTCGAGGACACAACACCTCATCCCATGGACACTCAGGATCCCGTTCAAGTGGAAGACTAGAATCCCGGCACCAGCAGTCACCAGACAGGTCCAGACACTCGCGCACTGAACATGGACAATCGTCTTCCAGATCCAGAGGCACCACTCATCGGGAGCCCAGTAGTAGTCAGGCCAGTGACAGCGAAGGACAGCGTGAAGATTCAGGTAGACAAACTGCCTCCACTCATGGGAGGACTGCGTCCAGTACTCAGCACCACCATGGTTCTACTCATGAGCAGTCCTGGAGACAGTGCTAGAAACTCTGCCACCCACCGAGGGCAGACAGGCCACCACAGTCACACTGAGCATGCCCAGGGACACTCCAACTCTGGTGAACGAAGAAGACAAGGAGTGAGTGATGGGTACTCCGGAGACAGCTCCAGACCATCGGGGTCTCCTCAAGCAGAGACATCCTCTCGAGGACACAACACCTCATCCCATGGACACTCAGGATCCCGTTCAAGTGGAAGACTAGAATCCCGGCACCAGCAGTCACCAGACAGGTCCAGACACTCGCGCACTGAACATGGACAATCGTCTTCCAGATCCAGAGGCACCACTCATCGGGAGCCCAGTAGTAGTCAGGCCAGTGACAGCGAAGGACAGGGTGAAGATTCAGGTAGACAAACTGCCTCCACTCATGGGAGGACTGCGTCCAGTACTCAGCACCACCATGGTTCTACTCATGAGCAGTCTGGAGACAGTGCTAGAAACTCTGCCACCCACCGAGGGCAGACAGGCCACCACAGTCACACTGAGCATGCCCAGGGACACTCCAACTCTGGTGAACGAAGAAGACAAGGAGTGAGTGATGGGTACTCCGGAGACAGCTCCAGACAATCGGGGTCTCCTCAAGCAGAGACATCCTCTCGAAGACACAACACCTCATCCCATGGACACTCAGGATCCCGTTCAAGTGGAAGACTAGAATCCCGGCACCAGCAGTCACCAGACAGGTCCAGACACTCGCGCACTGAACATGGACAATCGTCTTCCAGATCCAGAGGCACCACTCACCGGGAGCCCAGTAGTAGTCAGGCCAGTGACAGCGAAGGACAGGGTGAAGATTCAGGTAGACAAACTGCCTCCACTCATGGGAGGACTGCGTCCAGTACTCAGCACCACCATGGTTCTACTCATGAGCAGTCTGGAGACAGTGCTAGAAACTCTGCCACCCACCGAGGGCAGACAGGCCACCACAGTCACACTGAGCATGCCCAGGGACACTCCAACTCTGGTGAACGAAGAAGACAAGGACTGAGTGATGGGTACTCCGGAGACAGCTCCAGACAATCGGGGTCTCCTCAAGCAGAGACATCCTCTCGAGGACACAACACCTCATCCCATGGACACTCAGGATCCCGTTCAAGTGGAAGACTAGAATCCCGGCACCAGCAGTCACCAGACAGGTCCAGACACTCGCGCACTGAACATGGACAATCGTCTTCCAGATCCAGAGGCACCACTCATCGGGAGCCCAGTAGTAGTCAGGCCAGTGACAGCGAAGGACAGGGTGAAGATTCAGGTAGACAAACTGCCTCCACTCATGGGAGGACTGCGTCCAGTACTCAGCACCACCATGGTTCTACTCATGAGCAGTCTGGAGACAGTGCTAGAAACTCTGCCACCCACCGAGGGCAGACAGGCCACCACAGTCACACTGAGCATGCCCAGGGACACTCCAACTCTGGTGAACGAAGAAGACAAGGACTGAGTGATGGGTACTCCGGAGACAGCTCCAGACAATCGGGGTCTCCTCAAGCAGAGACATCCTCTCGAGGACACAACACCTCATCCCATGGACACTCAGGATCCCGTTCAAGTGGAAGACTAGAATCCCCGCACCAGTAGTTGCCGGACAGCTACACACACTCAGGCACTGGACATGGACTCTCATCCTCCAGATCCAGAGGCACCACTTATCGGGAACCCAGTAGTTGTCAGATCAGGAACAGTCAGGTACCATCTGAACTTTCATGTAAACCCTCTACCTTGACTCATACAGGGACTGGTTCTATTTCTAGCCACCAGAATATGTTTACCCAGGTTCTGTCAGGAGACAGTTTTAGGCATTCAGGTTTGGAACAAATTCAGGCAGCCATCCAAATGCAGTGTGACTCTTCCCACAGTCAGTGTATTTCCAACATTACACAAAGACAAAAGTGGCACCATGAACAGGAAGGAAATATCTCTAGAACCGCAAGAAATGTACTTGGAGTAATCTCCCAAACTGGTCACAGTTCTCAGTGTGGATCTAATATTAGTGAGTCTAGTGATACGAGGCTGGAAGTGTCAGACCTAAATCTAGCCTTTTGGGATGCAGATACACATAAACATATGAAGAAGACTTATGAAGACACAATTGATCAGGCAGTATGTACAACCTGTGACATATGGTCATTTGAGTGAGAATTTAAAACAGCTGGGATTTTGTCCATCCCTAAAATACTATTAATTATTGGTAAGAGACATAGAAATGTAATCCAAAAGGTAGGAGAATAAGCCAAGAACACAAATTTGAATCAAGAAAGTTTCATTATACTTTTCCAGAGATTATCTTTTCTTAACCTTCTGTTTTATCACGTAATAGCATTTCTTTGCTTTGGTGACAGTTTCTTTTGTTTCTCTAGGTAGCTTTGATCTTTATACGTATAAAATGGTGAATGGAAGAAAATCATTGTTATAGACAGATAAATTGAGAAAACTGTGTATTTTGGTAGACTGGAGTCCATGTAATGATTTTTATTGAGGGGTTAAAATATAGAACTTCTCCAATTTTATAAAATAATCTTTGCCAAAAATAAAGAAAAGGAATCAAGATGATAAAATCGCTTTTCCAGAGCCCATTGCTGATATGCCACTATTATGGCTCAGTACATATTCCTCATTATGCTTCCATTGGAACTATGCATTATTCTACATTCATTAAAATCACCTTTTAGCATATAGAATTTGTAAAAGTAAGCTGCATGAAAACGGAAAATAAACCATTGATCATATACCATCATTTGTGTCTTCTTTGCTTATTTCTCATAAACACCACAATACTTTCTTCCCAATGGCCTGTATTATATCTTTTTCCTCTATCACTAGACACCCACATGACCATATACCAGTAATACAACATGCGAAAATAATGAGGAATCCAAAGAAGAAAGTATCTAATCAAATCCTATGTTCTTTCTGGAACATAATCATTGTTCCACATTGCCACCTGCAGGATAGAAAAGGCTTATCTCAATTGTGACTAGAACCATGTTTATTATCAAAACATCAACCCATGTGGCTATTAGCCAAGTCAAACCAAGATCAGGAAACACAAATTGCTGACCATGAGACCTTCTTCCAAAGACACTAGGAGATGTTTTCCACTGGAGATGATGAGAGCAGAGAAATTATGCTGAATAGAATATGTTTACAAAGGGAAAACAATAAAGTAACGCTCTCCTGCCTAGAATGAAAACTCATATACTTCATGAATTAGCCCAGTGGATGAAGAGATTTAAAAAAAAGAAGAAGAAGAATAGAAACTATGAACAAGGTTCTACCATTAGAAGGGATAGCCCTTTGTGTGAATTGAACCCAACATTCCTTTTTATAATAGGAGAGCAGTTGGGAATTAGAGAATAGTTAGACCAATGTTCACATTTTGCAAATGAGTCCATTATACAAATAATCACACCAAATAGGAACTATAGCTCAAATCACATTGTCACCTGCAGGACAAGCCTTTTCTATCCTGCAGGTGGCAATGTGGAACAATGATTATGTTCCAGAAAAAAACATAGGATTTGATTAGATACTTTCTTCTTTGGATTCCTCATTATTTTCGCATGCTGTATTACTGGTATCTGGTCATGTGGGTGCTTAGTGGTTTTATAAGCACACTTACAAACGCTGTCTTTTTTTTTTTTTACTATTACTTAAATAAATCAAGCTAAAGTGAAATTAATTATCAAAGTTTAAATGATCGCCAATGTGCCCGGCCACTGTGGCTCAGTGGTTGAGCGTCGACCCATGCACCAAGAGGTCACAGGTTGGATTCCCGTTCAGGACACATGCCCAGGTTGTGGGCCAAATCCCCAGTGCAGGGCATGCAGGAGGCAGCCAATCAATGATCTCTCTCATCAAAGTTTCTATCTCTCTCTCCCACTCCATTCCTCTCTCTCTAAAATCAATTTAAAAAATGTTTTAAATAATTTTTTTTTAAATAAATGATCCCTAATGTGGATAGGTAGTAAATAAAAAGCAACAAACAACATCATTTTTCTCATTAGCCTCAAACAATGTCATGTCTATGTTTGTGCTCCATAAGCCACTCAAAGGGAATCTAATCTACCTACTAGTCTAGTCTTCTGCTTCCCTGCTTAAAGTGCTGTCCCTAAATTCCATACAAGCTGCAAAACCCAGAAGGTGCCAAACCTGCAGGCCTTATTGAATTGCCACAGACAGATATGGAGACAACGCCTCTCTCATTTCTGAGTCACTATTTGTCACCTTGCCTACAGTCTCACAACCAGCTACTTCAGTTACCACCTGAGGCCCTTCTTTCTCTAGAGGAGTCAGACCTAACTGACAGGCTGAAGAATTAAACATTGGCATGAGAGAGACAGCTAACTAAGGTGGAGGTGTTGATGGAAGGACACTGACTGACCTTACAACAGAGATGGCCAGATGTGTACACCTCTAGGCAAAACTCTCAATGTTTTGTGAAGAACCCATAAACAAACAACTGAAAGTGTTTTCTTTTATATCCCTGTCCACTCGAGAATAGAGTTACCAAACACTCCTCTTGTCTAGCTGACAGAAAATCATTTGCCCAAAAATGTCCATACATGATTCACTGGAAACATCCCAGACTATGATTTTTCTCTGTCCTCTCTTATTCCATTACAAAACTTGTTTTTGACTCTGTTCCTTAATTAAGTCAACCAACTCCCTCACATGTGAATCAACTATTTTTATGCAAAAAAAACTAAATTCCACTAAGTTATTCTTTGACTGAGACAATCTTAAAGGGCAGACTCCATGTTCCTGTTTCTCCTGAACTTCTACAAAACTTTCCTCCAGCCCTGACTGGTGTTTCTCAGTGGTTAGAACATCAGCCAGAGGGTCGCAGGTTCAACCCTGGTTAAGCACTCATACCTGGGTTGCAGGCTCGATCCCTGGCCCCAGTCGGGCTCATGGAGGAGGCAACCAGTCTATGTGTCTCTCACTTTGATGTTTCTCTCTCTCTCTCTCCCTTCCTCTCTCCCCCCCCCCCTTCCATTCTCTCTACAAATCAATAGGAAAAAAACAACTTTCTCCAAAGCATATCAATCTCTGACAACCTTATGAGGTGGGTAAAAGATACAAAGCAGTAGAATAGGGAGAAAAAACTGACCAGCAGTATCATTCATAATCGGACTTTGAAATCCTATTTAACAAGACGTCTTAAGTATGGGTCTGGCTCTGGCCAGTGTGGCTCAGTTGGTTGAGCATCCTCCCATACACCAAGAGATCACTGGTTGTATTTCCAGTCAGTACACATGCCCAGGTTCTCGGCTCAGTCCTCAGTAGGGGCTGTGCAGGAGGCAGCTGATCAATGTTTCTCTGTCCATTTCCCTTACTATCTATCTAAAATCAAAAACATATTTAATAAATAAATAAATTGTAGATCCACATTGCATTTTTGGTCTGCAAACTTTTACTGATACATAACAAAACAAGCACAGAAATTGAGGGCAAAGGTTAGAAACTTTTCATAACAATTAGGTGCAATATCCAAGTGTGTGACCACTTTTATTTTATTTTGACTGGAGTTAAAGAACTCTGATCTTTTACTGCAGAGAGTTTGAAAAATACTGTTCTATTGCTCTCATTACAAATGGCTGTTTATATTTTGCCCATATATAATATATATGGTACAGATGTTTCTCCTTTTTTACCCCATTGACACCCTCCTCCCCATCCACTCCCCGCCCTCCCAGTCCCTGGCTTTGTTGTCCATGTCCATTGGTTATGTATACATGCATATAAGTTCTGTGGTTTATCTCTTCCCACCCCCTTAACCCCCTCTAATGAGGGATGTCAGTCTGCACCCTACTTCCATGTTTCTCGGTCTACCATATTCCTCAGACTGTTATGTTCATTATATTCCATATATAAGTGAGATCATGTGGTATTTGTCTTTTTCTGCTTGGCTTATTTCACTTAGGATAATACTTTCCAGGTCCATTCATGTCGTCTCAAAGTATAAGAACTCTTTCTTTCTTACAGTTGCATAGTACTCCATTGTGTATATGTACTACAGCTTTATTTTATCCATTCGTCTACTGATGGACACTTGGGCTGTTTCCAGATCTTAGCTATTGTAAATAGTGCTGCTACGAACATGGGGGTACATGTGTTCTTCCTGATTGGTGTTTCAGGCTTCTTAGGGTATATTCCTAGAAGCGGGATCACTGGGTCAAATGGAAGATCAATTTTTAATTTTTTGAGGTAACACCATACTGTTTTCCATAGTGGCTGCACCAGTCTGCATTCCCACCAGCAGTGTACTAGAGTCCCCTTTTCTCCACACCCTCGCCAACACTTGTTTGATGATTTGTTGATGGTGGCCATTCTGACAGGTGTGAGGTGATACCTCATTGTCATTTTAATTTGCATCTCTCTGATGATTAGTGATGTTGAGCATTTCTTCACATGTCTCTTGGCTATTTGTATGTCCTGTCTGGAGAGGTGTCTATTTAGTTCCTCTACCCATTTTTTGATTGGGTTCTTTGTCTTCCTTTTGTTGAGTTGTATGAGCACTGTATATATTGGAAATTAACCCTTATCTGACATATCATTGGCAATGATGTTCTCCGATA